TCTTCTATTTCTTCTCCCTTTTTATTTATTTTATTATTATTCAAGTACTTTTTTAACCTCCAAGTTTTCAAACTCTCCTTCTATGGTGTCTGATGGCATACTGACTTGTATGATAAGTAGTAATGATATGATGTTTATCTGAAAGATGGGTAGAAGGTGGTGAATGATGGAAATTGTAAAGCGATTGACATGACTAGGCAGTGGCAAAATCGATAATTATTGGGGTTATTTTATGATTTAAATGTTCATAATTGTTTATTTATTTTATGATTAAATTCAATATTTAACTAAACACTTATAAATTGATAAAAATATTTTACCCACCCATATTTAACAGGTTTTAGCCACCGCTATCAGAAGATGGTCGAAATTTATCATAATAGTACACTACAGCCGATAGTACACCGATATGGTCATTTTTAGCCAGATCTACAAGCATTAGATCTAACTGTTGACGGCTAGATCTTTTGATCGTTGTTAACAGCCAAAAACTCTAACCATATTTGACCGAAAAATATCAGATCGATGCACTACCAGCCATATCTAGCTAATAGTACACCATTACGATAGATTCTAGTCACCTTCAGGTGGTAGTGATTAGAATATGACAAATGTAGATAGATGTGGGTGTTTTTGTTAATTTATAAATTTTTATTGTTAGAGATGTTTAGTTAAATTAACAAACTTGAAGAGTTAAAAATAATCTAAATATTTTGAATTAAATAAAATAATATAATTTATTATTTTGAAGAAAATTTTGATTATTTAAATAAATGTGTATTTGGATATGGTTGGATGGGATAATAGAATAAAATAGGGTAAAATTAGGAACAAAAGGGCCATTTGCTAGCTACCAGAAAGATGTCAGGCGTGTGTGAGATAAAAACAAGATTTTTTTTATATTTAAAAATTGATAGTTGTTGGGTAGAAGACAAGATAATAAGTGGAAAAGAGTCGTATATGTAGAATAACGGGCTAAGCCAGTGGATAGGAGTTTCAGGAGATTTAACATGTTTTTCATTGAAAGTTATTTGATTAGTCTAACACCCTTTCTTCGTTCATAATTGAATCATAAGTAAGAATTTTAAGAGCAATGGCTCTTTTGGAATTGTTAATATCTAAAGCGCAAAGCCTCCATTTTTTTTTACAGTTTCTGCAGAATTCACTTATCAAAACACTACCGTTTCACTACAAATGAGAAAAGATCTCAGCCGCTGAAATAAAGAAGATCCAACGGCCAGGATTAGCTCTTGAAGTCAAACTATATAAAGGTAGAGTCTTGTGCGCAAAAATTGAAAATTTTCTGCTCTTCTTTGTGTTCACGACAGATCAGTTTTTGCTCTCAGCTTTGTTAGTTTGTTGTCAATCTTTTAGGTTGAGAATCTGTATAATCTTAGTGTGAAGATAGTGTGTTTCTTCAGGTTTAAAGAAGCTGGATCAGGTATTCTCTATAGATTTCAGATTTGAGTGAGTGGGTTAAAGATTGATAGTTGGGTAAATCTTGGACAGTGTTTTGTAATCTGTAATAACAGTTGATTCCTAGTGTAGTGAGCCTCCAAAAATTCTTGGAACTCAACGTGGATGTAATCTTTCCATTGTGAAAGGTGAACCACAGTAAATTTGGTGTTCTTGTGACTGGTTTGATCTTGTTTCTTTTGTGTGTGTTATTTGTGAGTTTGTGCGTGTGATTAGTAGTAAATTGGTTGAGAATTTACATAACAGTAGTATCAGAGCACGGTTAGTGTTGTCAATCCTAGGGTTTCTTGATTTTTCAAAATCTAGGGTTTGGTCATAAATTGGGGATTTCTTGATTAAAGGCTTGGGAGAGTCTAAGATTAAAAATTCTGTAAATTCGGGATATCAATTTAAGAAGTAGAGGCCAATCTTGGTTTCTTTCTTGGGTTCTGTTTAGTAATCACCAAACACAAAAACAAACACATTCAGTCGTGAGTACAACTAGGGTGGAGATCGCCCAGTATGATGGAAAAATCGATTTTGGCAGTTGGAAGAAGAAGATGAAAGCTTTGTTGTCCCACAACAAAGTGTCAATCGCGCTAGAGAAGGATTCCACCAAGTGGTCGGAGGAGAAGCTGAAGAAGAAGGCCGAAGTGGATGAAGAGGCCTACAATTTAATCATCATGAACCTTGCCGACAGTGTGCTACGCAAGGTCGATGGGTTTGAAACCCCAATCGGCCTCTGGGGTAAGCTTGAAACTCTCTATGCTTTACAATCAGCTCCTAATCTAGCATACTTAAAAGGTGCCCTATTTTCATTTAAAATGGATAGTAATAGGACTATTGAGGAGAACCTGGATGAGTTCTTGAAAATGACGCTGGTTCTCAAGGGTACTGATCAAGAACTTAGTGATTTCAGCCTTGCCATGATTCTTTTAAATTCTTTGAATGATGAATATCAGGTAGTAAAGAATGCTTTGCAGTACACTGGCACTGTACCTAGTGTAGATTTAATTGTTGCTGGGTTAAAAGCTAGGGAGTTAGAACTTAGAGTTCAAAAAAAGAGTGGTAATAGCCTGTTTGTTAAGGGTAAGGGCGAAATTAGTTAGGTGGGTAGTAATCATCATCACGGCAGTAGCTTTAGAAACAAAAAGAAGGGTAAAAACACTAATAAACCCAAAGGGGAAACCCGAAAATGTTTTTATTGCAATAAGACTGGTCACCTAAAGAAAAACTGTTTTGAGTGGATTAGGAAACAGAAACAGTCCAACACTGAGAGCAATTTAGCCAGCACTAAACATAGCATTGAAGAATCAGAGGTCCTAACAGTGTCTAAGGCTGGTACCATAGGGGAATAGGTGTTAGATTCTGGTTGCTCTTTCCACATGAGCCCAAACAAAAATTGGTTCCAAGATTTTGAACCAAATGACTGTGAGACTGTGTTTATGGGAAATAACAATGCTTGTAAGGTTCAGGGAGTTGGTAGCATATCTTTGAGGATGAATAATGGAAAACTAATCAAACTTACTAAGGTTAGATACATTCCAGATCTTAAGAGAAACTTGATTTCTTTGGGAACCTTGGATGAATCTGGGTGTTGTTATAAGGTAGAAAACGGTTCCTTAAATATCTATAAGGGTAACAGCATAGTACTTAGTGGGGTAAAGAGGAATGGGCTGTACATCTTGAGTGGAGGTTACTGTTCTGATTGTTTGCTTACTACAAATCTGACAGACACTGAAAAGTGGCATTTGAGGTTAGGGCATATGAGCCAAAAAGGCCTAGATACTCTAAGTAAACAGGGGTTTTTTGGCAGGGATGTCATTAGTGATCTGAAGTTTTGTGAAACATGTATAATGGGGAAGCAACATAGGNTTCTTTTCCCTTCAACAACCTGTTTGAGCCTGAAAACACTTAAAGTGCACCCGTGATCCCATAAATGGTATTTATGAAAGAAATAATCCAAATTCCACACTTTAAGCACATTTTTCCATAAATAAACCAATTAAATCACTAACAAAATATCAACATTCAAGCTCTTATCATACCCCAACCAGTCCACCCTTACTAATATCATTCATTTGTCTTTCATTTATTTTATTATTACAAATTTTCAATTTTACCATTGCGTGAAATTTAAGAGATATAGAATGTTTAGGTTAGATCTCATTAAAGACTCTTTTGGTCTTTATTTTCTTAGCCCAAACACTAGGAGAAAGTGTTTTTAACTCTTTTAATATATTTATTCTCATCTTATTTCCATATTAAATTCCTATTATTGCCTTGAATTTGACGTATCAAAAACTAAGTGAATAAGATTCTTTTTTTATTGAAGGAAAACACAAGCAATTTTAAGGTTTAAATAATATTCGAATTTTAAGGAAATTTCAACTCTAATTTTAGACGTATGGGTGCAAAGAATAAAATAAAATATCAACTAAGCCCAATATATAAATTAGGGTAATTACATAATTTGGCCTTCTCCCCTTCAAATAAAATAACAACAAAGCTACGGACACCGAAAAACTTGCACCGAAATTGTGTATCAGCCTACGTGTACCAGCCGCGTGAATTTTTTTTTCAATTTTTTTCTAGTGAACGGCCGTCCAAAAAATTTGGACGGCCGTTCAATGGACGTGGGTCCATATACTTTAAAGGACGCCCATCCCTGAATAAAATACAATAAAATTTTTTTATAAACATTAGGGATGGCCGTTCATCCGTTACGGACGGCCATTCATCCGTTATGGATGGCCGTCCCTTCATTTTGGACGGGCGCCCACAAATAAGGGACGCCCGTCCTTAACCAAAATATGAAAATAAAAAAAAAAAATCTTTGGGGATAGCCGTCCATAAATTTTGGACGGTTGTCCCTTACGTTTGGACGGACGTCCATTCCTAATGGACACCCGTCCATACTTTTAAAAAAAAAAAAAAAATTCTAAAAAAAACTCTTCTTCTTCGTCTTCATTCCCCATCTCCTCTGAATTAGCTACCGAATTAGCTGCAATTCCCAAATAATTCCTTATTGAATTTGGGAAGTCATTGGTTGCAAAATCAGCTGCATTCTGAGGCTGATAACCACGTGCTGCAAAGCCCAGAAAACTACAGAAGCAAAACAGGGAGAGCAAAATTTATGGACGGTCGTCCCCAAAGTTTTTTTTTTTTTATTTTCATATTTTGGTTAAGGACGGACGTCCCTTATTTGCGGGCGCCCGTCCAAAATGAAGGGACGGCCGTCCATAACAGATGCACGGTCGTCCCTAATGTTTATAAAATTTTTTTATTATATTTTATTCAGGGACAGGCGTCCTTTAAATGGGGACGCTCGTCCCTGGTATATGGACCCCCGTCTATATAATATGGACGGGGGTCCATGTGAGTGAATGGCCATCCAATTTTTTTGGACAGCCGTTCACTAGAAAAAAATTGAAAAAAAATTCACACGGTTGGTACACGTAGGCCGGTACACAATTTCGGTGCAAGTTTTTCGGTGTCCGTAGCTTTGTTGATAAAATAAACTCTGGATAGAAAACCGAACCACAACCACCATGGAGACCATCCATCGTTTCTCAGGCCGTCTACTTCCGTTAACTGTGGCACAGAAACATATAAAGTCCGCCCCCATTTTTATCCTGACCCGAATACCCATCTCACTACCCGAATTCCAAACCCCTGCCGCCCCATTCTCCACCACCCGAAAATCCCGGACGTCCTCTACGGTTAGAAGGGCGGGTTGGCTTCTGGGTCTGGGAGAAAAGAAGAAAGTTAGCTTACCTAAGATAGTAAAAGCGAGTGACCCTGTTTTGCATGAGCCAGCCCGCGAAGTTGACCTAGAAGAAATCGGGTCGGAGAGGATCCAGAAGATTATTGACGATATGGTTAAGGCTATGAGGTCGGCTCCTGGTGTTGGGCTTGCTGCTCCTCAGATTGGAATCCCATTAAGAGTAAGTTTTTTAATTATATCTTGCATTTTTAAGTTTTTGAGTAGGATTAAACTGTGTTAGAGAAAGCTTAAGCTGATAGTTAATGCATAATTTATTTGGTAGTTTGTTTTAATGGTTCGGTTTTTTTCAACTATGTCAAGTAAAGGACGATGTTCTTTTGAGACAAAAATAAAATAAAAATTTCAACTCTTTTATGTGTATTTTTTCCCTATATTGATGATAAATCCTGAAAGGTTGAGTATAATTTTGGAGAAATCTGATGGCTATAATGTGACGTGTGGATGGTCATTGATGCGAATGTGCTCAAAGAAAATCTTTTGTACTGTAAAACTAGTGCTTTATGAGTAATGGTTTAGACCTTGAACGTCTAAGAGACAAATTTTGTTTTGAGTTTTTGCTTTGTATGAGTGTACTTGATGTATCATGTATGGTGTTTGAAATTTTTGCCTAATTATCTGGTTCTCTAAGGTAAGTGTATAAAGTGAAAAAAGAAATGTATACGATACAAGAACCTCTTTTAGTTAGTAAGTATTAACATATGTGCAAACTGGGACACTGGCCGCCAGTTTGGTACTTCCAAACCAATCTACATACTGATATTGCAAACCATATTTATGTAAAAACTGTGTCATGTTTCATCTGTGCAGATTATAGTTTTAGAAGATACAAGAGAATATATCAGTTATCAACCCAAGGAAGAAATTAAAGCACAAGATAGACGCCCTTTCGATCTTCTGGTATGTTAATTTATCCAAGGGCAACTGTATCCTTATCATCCAAGAATTTTCACTTTACAGTTACGCTCTATTAGTTCTTTTGAGGCAGGTGATTCTGAACCCGAAGCTTAAAAAGAAGAGCAACAAGACTGCACTATTTTTTGAGGGCTGTTTGAGGTAAGATTAAACAGTTAATTTCAACTATAAAATGGTTTTCTCCCGAGTAGATATTATTCTCTTTCAGATCTCTGTTGCCTTGTCCATTCTTATTTTATGTCAAATGTGATGACACAAAAAAGTTTAGAGTCCAAGTTCTACCTTCTGTTGTGCAGTTCATTATCACAACTTTTAATTCTATAAACTCAGTATTACAGTGGATGAATTAGTTTTGCTCCTACCCGAGCATGCAATATCTCTCCTTTTTTTTTTTCCTTTAAACTTCCTACAAGCTGTAGAAATGTATTAAAATTAAAAACATACTGGCCACAAATATGGTTTAGATGTTTTAAGATAACTTAAGAGATTTAATCATTCCATTCTCTTTTCCAAAGTTTTAAATCCTTCGTTTAGGACGAATTCCTTAAAATAATGGAGTTATTTGATAGATAATAAGCATTATGAATGGTACTCGTGTCATTGATATTTTAAATTGTATTGCTTCAGAGCTCAACTATTATTATTTCTCCAGCTACAACAACCCCAAATTTCACTGTGGTCTCCGACTGGTATTCTGGAGAGACTCAATTCTAAATGAGTTATAAAGTACAGGAAGCAAAAGAATTAGATGTTATGAACAAGAATTATGTTGATTTAAGATATTAGCTTCAGGATGCTCACAGATTTTAGTTTATTGTTTGTAATCCAATGAATTCATATGACAGATTTATCGGATTAACTGTTACATAAGACTAGGGGTGAGCATGGGTAAAGGGTAGAATCTGAATCGGCCCCATTAGGGTCAGGTTCCGGTTCTGGAAAATTGGAATCGGGAATTTTTGGATCCAGTTCCAATTCTAGCACTGCAGGAACCGAGAATCGGAATCAAGGTCTAGGTATCTGGGTAGGAATCAAGACTAAATTATAATTTTTATAAACTATTGGGGGTGTATTTGTCATTTTTTAAAAAGTATGGGGGTAACAAGATTTTGTTTCCAGTTCTGGTTCCAGGTTTCTTGGAACTAGAACCAGCCGGTTCCAATTCCAATTCCAAATCTTAGGAACCGGTCAGTTTCGATTCCGATTTCAAATCTTAGGAACCGACCAGTTCCGATTCCGATTCCGATTCCAAATCTTAGGAATCAGCCGGTTTCGGTTGCGATTCCGATTCCTTAAAAAAGTGCAAGGTATCCGAAACCGCTCACTCCTAGACATAAATAATTTGAATTGAGAAATTTACAAATTCTACAATCTGTAGAAAACTCTGTATTCTTTCTTATTAGTAGAATTTTGAGAAAAACTTGAAAAGTATTTGTACCTTCCGAGTATCATTATTGCTATGGCGATAATCAAATTGGCAGCCACATATTGATGTTCAAAGAAATTTGCAATTATATGATGGGGTTTGTTGATACGGATTTTGGCACCAACGAAACGCACGTGTGAAATGCTGTGATGACCCAGAAGACACACGTGAATGTAATGAATAGAGAAATAGTAAATGCAATGGGGACAGTTTTTAAAGTGGTTCGGATGCTAAGGTAGCAAGTCCTACGTCCACTGATGCTTATATTGATGATAAAGGTCAGGTCGCTTTTAGCTGACTGACTTTACAGTAATATTACAAAGTATTGAATGCTAAGAATTCTAGAAAAGGGAGGACAATTAATCAAGTGTAAAATGTGCCAATCCCCCTCAATGAGAGATGAGCTTCCAATTTATAGTGAGATGTAATGAAGCAATGATCACTAAATCTGTAAGTTGGTAGGATTATCCGTGCAAATCCTTCTTTATGTCACGTTGCCCACCTTCTAGAGTGATTTGCGTGATTTAGAGCAGGGATTGAACACGTGGGAGCACCACAGCTCTTGACTAGCCTGACACGCACCCATTATCCTGACGGGAACAGGCGGTGGTTGTCCCAATGATCTGACTTTTGTGGGCTGGATGGACCTGACGTCAGCCCTTGTATTTTTTAGGCATAACAGAAGTCCCCTAGTTTTTAAGGTTTGAGGATTGAACCTTAGAAACTATAGGCTATGCCACAGCGGGATGATTTCTGGAAATTCTAGTCTATTTGAAAGTAGATTGGAGTGGCATTTTCATGAGCGCGACCTCACATGTTCATCGTTTGCAAAAGGCGAGCGACCTGATCTCGTCTGACGTCACATGTTGTTCTGGTGATAGGGATGCATTTAATGAAGCAATCCCTGCGCTGATAGGTGTGTCCTATGCATGATAAATGCCAGCCAATCGCATTAAATGCGTTGTATGCTGAAACAATGCGCTTTATCAGAACATTAAATGCATTTTACGTTGGAACGACGCCCCTTATCAGAGCATTAAATGAGGATTTGAAACGCAATTAATGCTCTGAGAGAGGTATGGCCGTCGTTTGAGCTTTTCAACTGGAAGGATGAAAGTTTGACTTTATCCAGTCGTTTCGTTCACCCTTCGTTGCTGATGAGTGACACGTGGTTAAGATCAACGGCAAGAAACCTTTGCTGCCCAAACATCGTTTCAATTCCGGGAAATCCAAACGCCGATTCACACGCTATAAAAACATCAAATCGTTCTCAGGCAATGTCGCCAGAGCCTTTTTCACAGAGAACAAAAGACTTTCATAAACCAGGAACCTTTGTCTTCCAAACCTGCATTTTTCTGGCATTTGAAGCAGAAACAGTCGTCATACTCCAAGAAGAAAGGACTTCCCTGCCATTGTTTCATTATTTTCGTGAGTTAATGGCGTCAGTCTTTCGATAACCCATCGGAGACGAAATGTTTGTGCCAGGTTCGAGCCATGAATGGTGGCTCGGATCGGAATGTTAGGGTTTTCTTGGGGAATTGGGGAGTCTGTTTCTCCCACGTCATCGTACGAAATAGCGTACGGAGGCCAAATAATCCTTCTGCTTGTCGCTTTTGCAGACTGGCAAAATGGACCCCTCAACAACCAAATTCGAGCAGGGAACCAGCTCGTCCCCACAGGGTGCTCCTAGCATCCCTCTTGAGGTTTTCTTGGTACTTACCGAGGAAGAGCTCGAGAGGGTAATAAACCAATACGGTATCAAGGTGGACGTTTTCCACAACCTGACGCATTCGTTGCGATACCCGTCAAGCGGCCTGGCCATGATCTCCGAGGAGATTATCAAGGGTAGAGAACTTATCCCTCTGCACCCTTTCATCAGGTCATTTCTGGACCACTTCGAGGTTGGGCCAATGTAGCTGACCCCGAACGCGTACGTCATTGCTGTTGCAATGTACATCACGTGTCAGGAAAACGGGCTTGGCGAGCTGACCGCCTTGGAGCTCGGCTGCTCGTATTTTCTGAAAAAAGAGCAAGGACAAGGACTCGTATTACTTGTCCAGGCGACCAACCATTGCCGACGGTATACACAGTTATCCCAGCAACGCAGGAGCCTACTAAACGAAGTTTTTCTTCTTTCGTTACGATGGCCATTGCCGCTTCCAGGAACCGAGTATGCTTCTTTCCCTTCGTTTGCATTTCTGCTTTGTTTTGGTGAACTCATCGCATTCGAAGTGTGTTCGTTCTAACGACCTGATTTTTTCTTTTCGACAATTAAAAAGACGACCGAAATAGGGCTGCTCCACGATAAGAGAAGAATCCTGCATTTCAGTTCCCTACTCGAGGACAAGCGCGACGCGAAGAAACTTGTGACGATCGTGAATTTGCGAAAATACGGTTTCTTTAACGCGAGCGCGTCGTTAGAGCCTCCACCGAGTAAGCTCTGCTAACCGATTCTCTTCCTGGTTGTGGAATAGAATGCCTTCACTAACGTTGTCTTGTATGCAGCAACCATGCCACCGAAGGAGCCAGAGCAGCCTCGGCGAAGGCCTCTTAATTTTCCTCGATCGAAGAAAGCTAAGGCGGCCAAAGCTGCTCAAAACGTCCCCTCGGCTGAGGGCGCAACCTCGGGCTAACCAGCGCGACTTTCTAAAACTTCTCAGTAGCTGCCTATGGAAGACGCGCCAACGCATACCACGAAGGTCTCCCAGTCGTCGCCTGCTCGCCCGAGGATGAAAACAATGGCTTAGTGAAAGAAGAGGAGGCAGATTCAGGTCGAGGAGTTAGAGACCAAATCTGAGGGCGAGCAGCTAAAGAGGTCGAAGAAAGACGTTAGAAGGAGCTCGGGCAAGGAACCGATGGTCGACGCGGCCGCTGCTGAGGGCGCGAAGAAGGATACCCCCCGTGTTTGACTCGCTGGGGAACCTGCCGGAGTACCTGCAATCGGTGGTCCATACCTTACTGGAATGTGGACTCTCAGAATCATTCGAACAGTTCACAAATTTCAACGACGTCGACCTGATGTCCACATCGGTCCAGCATTTAAGCAAGGTGAGCGAGCTGTCCTCGGTGAGGACTATCCTTAGCTTCTTTGGATTGACTAACTCTATCTTTCACTGTTCGTAGGCCCTTCTCTCCATGCGAATGTCTCTGGAGAAAGCTCAACTGGGAGCCGCAAAGGGGGAGGTTGCATTGAAGGAAGAGAACACAACACTCAGGCGAAGCATGGAAGCCACCGAAACGGAGAGAAACTTATCTTTTGAATCGGCGAACAGGTTCCAGAACAAAAGGGATACAGCTCTTCGCACAGTTGACTTCCAGAAGACGCAGCTCGAGAAGCAAGGAGAAGAGATAAAGGAGTTGCAAAGGACCATAGCCAGACTGTCCAGGCAGGCCGCGCGAGCAGAGCAGGAGAGAGAGGCTTCTGAGAAGATAAGGCATGCTCTTGAAGTTTAACTTCAGGAAAGTCAAGGGAAAGTTGCTTCCTTGTCAGAGGACATGCAGAAGCAGGCTGCGGAGGTCGAGGAGAAGGCTGCCGAATGGTCAAGCGAGTCTATCTACGCCCTGAGGCCGAGGAATCCGTGACTCGACATGTCCGACCTCCCGGAGGACTGACGCGAAACACTTATGACAATGGCGCGGGAAGACGATGAAGCAGCGACCTCCCAAACGGGTGGTTCGGGACATGCTTCAGACAAACCTTCGACCGACCAGCCTTAGGACGTCGAGGTCGCCTCTTTAGTAGTCAATTTAGGGTTCTCAGCCATATATGTACTTCTTATTAATAAAATTCACATTTTTGACTTACACAGTTTCTGTTCGTTTCATTGTATATGAGTGCTTTCTGATTGCTTACATTCATTGAGTCAAAGATAACATAACTCATTCGCACGAAAAGGATCACATACAAAGATTGTTATAAACACCCAAGATAAAATTTACAAAGAAATGACTTACAAAAATCAGAAATTAATTTACAAGGAAAGCTGAGTTCGGAATTACTAATAGTATGGCCGAAGGTGCTCAGCATTCCAAGCTCTGGGTACCTTGGAACCGTTTAGCCTTTTGAGATGATAAGTCCCCGGTTTGATTACTTTATCAATGCGGTACGGGCCTTCCCAGTTCGGCCTTAAAACTCCTGCACTTGGTTTCCTGGTTCCGAGAAGAACTTCCTTTAAGACCAGGTCGCCGACTTGGAAGTCTCTTTGCCTGACCTTTGAATCGAAGAACTTCTTCGTGCATTGCTGATAGGCTGCTATCCTTAGCGAAGCCTTGCTACGATGTTCTTCAACAAGGTCTAGG